GACATAGTTTGTCCTTTAGTGTGTTGGCCGGTACTTTTATAATTAAAGAAAATAAAATGTAGACTAAAGAAAACTGTCCAGGAAGATGGAGCATTCCAACCATGATGATGGGAAATGTGTTCAAGTCTTGTGGAAAGTACAACATATGATTTTTATCGTTAGCTTTTAGTAATTAGATATTATTTTACTCCACATGCATGTAAGAGATGTGTGTTGCGCCGAGCATTGAGCCTGGATCATTTTAACTGAGTGTGATGATGTCATGCACACTAAACATCCCTAAACCTTCACAAACAGACTCTTCTTACTCATAAACATGTCATTTACAGTTTTATACATAAAAGAGGAGTTTGGTGGCCAAATTCTGAGGCTGCATCCTTTAACGAACCCTTTCTACTCAGCCAACGTAGGCCAGGTCCTTCATCAACCACGAAGACCAAAAGTAAGGAGCTCTGAACTTGGACGGTCTAGTTTTCAGACTTATTCCCACCTTTCCATTAGTGAATATCCTGTAGTTCAGCAACATAAGCTCCATCCACCATTATCACAACAACCAATATCTCCTGTTCTGCTCACAATCAATCCTAGGACAGGGTGGACCAACAACGATACATCATGTACAAATGCATTTGTGGGTGGAGCCTTCGACTTCGTGACAGCTTGCATCGCTGTGAACATAACTGGCCTTTAAATGCCGCTTTTAGAGGATGCAGGCCCTGAATTTGATCACAACTGCCATGGTAGATGGGTTTTAGCTCATATCCCCCAGAATGCTGTCTTCAGATCCTAAATTCAGGCTTCCTTGCATTTCAGCTAATAGTTGCTTTGGCATTTTTTAAAAATTTATTCTGAACATTTCCAGTCCTAAATGTAACATCAAAATGTCAAAAATGCCATGTTGCAGAAGCGAATATATTTTAAATTGTGGATGTGGCTAAAATATATGTACTTTAGAGATAACGAGGGAAAGCTTTTATTCACAACGCTATCAGAAACACAACAGCATGAGATTTTTGTCAGAGTTGAATCAGAGGAACATGCAGGCTGGCCTCACAATGTGTATGACAATTCTCAAACACACCAAAATCCCTTTTTCTCTCAGAATATGCGTTCATATATTTAGCTTTTAGAATCATGTTAAATCTTTAGAGAATCGTTGGAGTCTGGCCTAGGTCAAAGCTAGTTATCAGAGCGTTCTGCTGGTAGTGAATGGGTCTAAAAAATTAACATGCCAGTTTAAAATTCTTTAGATCATGTTTTTTTATTTACACACAACATCCCAGCCTGCACTGGGTCTTAAGATAATGATACAGTAAATGTGCAATGTTGCATGTGCAGTGTTTTAGAAAGACACATTTTTGTAACATTGCTAGCAGACACATCTGTGCTGAATAATACTGGAAGAGCTAACATTGGGCACGTTCCCTAGTCAACGAGAGAGACATCTTACAGCATGAAAGGCAGTGGAGGAGCTAGAACATTTTACATGGGGGCTAAAGAGGTGACAAAGATCTAGGATGGAGGTGATGAATGGATCTCGTTGCTGATATTAATGAAAATCCTCAGAATGTGAACAAGAGTCAACCAAATATCCACTGAGCATTTACAAAAAACTTTCAGTGTTATTTCTTTAGAGTAAACAACGATAACTTTTAGGTATAAATAAGCCAAAAAAAAATGTTACACAAAAACAAACAAATAAATAAAAGTTTAGAATAACTTCTGTTATTGTACAGGACTGATTTCACCTTTAGGAGAACCCAGAGCACATTTTAAGAACATGAATATGGGGGGGGGGGGACAGCAGTCAGGGCAGTCCCTCGCCCTCCAGTAGATCCGCCTGTGGTGATTGCAAAATTGCGTTGTTGGTCATCGATGACCCAAGACTGAAACCACTGCAGCAATGAGTGAGCCAAAGAAGTTTTAATTCATAAACTATTCACATGTGAATTATTTAAAACGTGTTTTAAGCAGAAATGACTTTGTACTAATCACAGAGACGTGGAGAAATCTAGATATTAAAATGTGAAAATGATGGTTTTAAACCAACGAGACGCAAACACCAGTGGTTTGTTTTGTCAAACTATTTTCCAGGTAAAAAAAAACTATTATGTTAACCCTCTCAGGCTCAAAATAAGTTTTGATAAAAGGACAAACAACTAAGTCCTTCGGGGGTACTTCTGAGTTAAAAAATGCTCATGAAATACGTATGTAGAGAAACCAGGTAGGTAGGTTTTAACGTTGCAAATCTGCAACGCCTGCCTCCAGAGGGTTAAATGGCAGCATGATTCGTCCTCTCCAAAGAGCAGCAATAAAGGACTGTCACTAGACAAAGGAACGGGGAAATAATCCTCCAAAACAGGAATAAAAGTCAGTTTTACTATCAGTGCATATTTTGCTGAAATTCTTGTTGCATTGGGTCAATAATCACTTGCTAACGTTGATAAAAGTTAGCCATATGATGATCAAATGACGTTACCAGTGGAATTGAATGATTGTTGATATGTGGCACTTTAAGTGTTTGTTCTGGAGCTACAGGACCAGGGTTGTAGCGGTAAAACCCCCAAGTGGAATGAACCGTGCCGACGTCTGACTTACGACTTTAATGTTTTACCAGTTATCAGAGGCTGTAGCTCTAAATGCTTTCTGAAGCTGAAACTATAACATAGAAAAGTGGTTTTAGTTATTCAAATGCTCTATTTTGTTTTGGGATGCGTGAACAGCATCTGTATGTTGTTTTTTTAAAGACTTCCTTTTGTCTTCATGCCCAAAATGTTTTTATTTGTTGGTATTTTTCTCTTGATACCTGATGTTTTTGGCTTCTGCCTGTTTCTTGATTTAATAAAGTTTAACCCTTTAATGCATGAATTATGAAATCTTCAACCATGATTTTTTAACATTTTTTTTCATTCGTCTTTAGGTGTGAATGAAACAAATTTCAACAAATGTTTTTTGTAAAATTTTATAATTTACAAATAATTTATTACATGTCTACCTCAGTGGACAGCGTGCATTCTGAGCATGTAATATGTTGGCTTGGCTTACTGAAGTCCAAAGGGAGGGGCTCAAATGCAATAAAGTCTTCAACAGCTGTGCTTAATAGCAAAAACAAATAAATAACAATTTGAGTACCTGTCCACTGTAGTGACTATTATGCATCAAAGGGTTAATTCAGCTTATTCATATAGCAGCAAATAACAACGGTCATCTCAAGGCACTTAACAAAATAAAATGTTTAAACCTACTTATTCGTGCATTGAGTTCAGTTCATTTTTATTTGTTATTAGTTAAAAGTTTAACATGGAAGAAAACCCAACAGATTGCATTGAGTCACTGACTTGTTGTGTGACGGTAAAGTATAACTTTTTGTTATTGGGTCTGTGGCAGAAACAGGCTGATGAAGCGGGTGGTAAAGGTCAGAAAATCAGCAGGAGCGATAATGTAAACCTTGAATATGTTGTCTGGAGACCTGCGTTTGTCCTAAAGTGGACACCGTACATCAGCTTCATCTACACCACTAACTATGAATGTGTTCTACCGAAGAGCATGGTTGTGTTGCAGTGTGAACCCAGTCGTTTTCTAACTCCAGGAGGTTTCAGGTGAGGAGCAGGAGGAATGCGTTTCCATTTGTTGCAGTGGCAGCAGAGAAGCAATGCATCAGCCAGGAGTTTAGGTTGAATTACTTGTCTGGTTCTGGAAAGGTTTGTTACAAAGTACGATGCTTTTAGGTGTCAAATCTAAATCTGTCATAACGTCTCAACAGTTTTAGAAGTCAAATAACTAAAAAAGATCACTTCTGAAAAATGTGTGTTGGGATCCGGGTTTAGTATTAGACCACATAAATAGATTTATTGCAGCCCTTTTACGAGTAAAGCGAGTGTGTGTGTGTGTGTGTGTGTGTGTGTGTGTGTGTGTGTGTGTGTGTGTGTGTGTGTGTGTGTGTGTGTGTGTGTGTGTGTGTGTGTGTGTGTGTGTGTGTGTGTGTGTGTGTGTGTGTGTGTGTGTGTGTGTGTGTGTGTGTGTGTGTGTGTGTGTGTGTGTGTGTGTGTGTGTGTGTGTGTGTGTGTGTGTGTGTGTGTGTGTGCTGAAGAAGAAGAGATTATCTGATAGATCAGACCCGTGTTACCTCCTCAGTCCACGTCTAGCAGCTACTCTGATCAGTGTTAACTCAGGGCTTCACAAAGAAAAGATGGAGATGCCATCTGTGGGTCAGAAACGCACTAAGAGGAGAAGTCAAAAGATGGTTTCTGCAAAGCAAAATGAATACATGCAACGTTCTAACAGAATATTCTTATAAATGTCAAAATAGATGTTAAACATGTTTTCAATAATTAGAAAAATATTTAAATGGTTGTTGAGGCTTTTTGTGTTCTCGTTCTCCAATAGGATATTTTATCATTGTTATCAATACTACTACTACTACTACTACTACTACTACTACTACTACTACTACTACTACTACTACTACTACTAATAATAATAATAATAATAATAATAATAATAATAATAATGATAATGCATGGTATAAATGTTACTTAATAAATTATGAAAGAAAAAGTATGATACTTTCAAAATAAAATAAGCTTAAAAAGTCATGATGTAAGCTTTTGTTTTATTAATACCAAATGTTCATTTTAGTTTTAGTGAATATACATTGAAATGGTAGACTTCATTTTCATTATAGTGGCACTGATGATTGTTGGTAGATTTCTAAAATAAAACAGGTTTTCTAAATAAAATACCCTGCAGATCAATTAATATAAATTTAGGAATTAAAATTTCTACAAATTCATTTTAATTATTTTAGAACAAGTCAGACTAGTAAAATATGTGGCTTTATTAAAGTGTGTGTGTGTGTGTGTGTGTGTGTGTGTGTGTGTGTGTGTGTGTGTGTGTGTGTGTGTGTGTGTGTGTGTGTGTGTGTGTGTGTGTGTGTGTGTGTGTGTGTGTGTGCAGCATAAACCAGCATTTCGCCCGCTAACTCACCGCACAGCCTCATAGACGTCGCGCGCAGACAGACTGAGCGCGTGCGGGGTCACTGGCTGTAGTGGCAGAGCCAGTACATCCAGCGTTGGTCTGAATATTTCAGGGTGAGGGAGCGCATCGGAGCTAAGTGAGAGATTAAAATAAACTTTTAGAGAAACGAGTCGGAGTCTGAGTGAAAGACCAGCTGTTCGGGTGAATCCAGAGATTGGGTTGTTGCAAAGGGATAAAGTGTGTGGAGCGGAACGGCGGGGAGGATCTGTGGCTTAAGCCATCGGAGGAGGAGATGCGTTCCTCATTCTGAGGAGGAGGAGGAGGAGGGGCAGAGGAGAGGAGAGAGGGAGGGAGAGGTGAGTGGAGCGGAGCATGCACGTCGCACTATCAACTGAATCCATCTTGGAAAACAACTCGCTGGGAGTCCGGCGGTGAGCTGCGCGGACAGGGACGGCACCGACTCAGCCCCGGACACCAGAGCGCATCGGGCGGACGCAGCCGGCCGTCATGGCCCGAGCTCGGATTGGATCGGGCGTTCTCGCTACACGGGCAGAGTTCCGGAGAGGAGAAGCGCCCGCTTCCTTCGCTCCGTGCGCACCGCAGACTGTGTTGGGTTAAAGCGGAGGAGCTCCATGTGAAGGACCGGGGAGCTGGAAGCCTCAAACACTCGGTCCCTCTCTCATACACACGCACGCACACACACACATACACACACACATGGATAAAGGAGTAAAACAGGACCATTGGTGGATTGTGTTCGGAGCCGACTGAAGAGACCTTTACGCACGACCATCCAGCAGGACGGAGGCGCGGAGGACGGAAGGGAAAAGTTCAACGAGGTTGCGGGGATTAAGATGGATGCGGGATCGCTAAAGGTACAGTCCAGGTTCGTTCTAGAAGCAGGACGTGGCTGCAGGGGTCTGTGTCTGGGCCGAATTTAGGGCCACTTTTCTGGGGGAAACTCAGTTATGAGTCGGCCCTGACACGCTTTAGAAAAAGTGTTGAAGAGGTTTTCATTCTGGATGCGCCGCGCACGGCTTTCAGCCCCATTTGGACTAAATCCACCCAGATGAGTCGAATCTGCAGTAACGCTGAACCGGTCCTAATCACATCCTGAACGCTAAAACTTCTAAACCCATCCTCATCAGACTCTCATCTGGTGGAAACACTAGGCTGGACATCAAAGAGGAGAAAATATTTTTACACACACACACACACACACACACACACACACACACAGACACACACACACACACCGTTGATGAGGCTGGTTGTAGAGAAAACTTAAAGGTAATAATTTGGATTCTTCGAGGTTTGATTCCTGCTGTTATAATAATCTTGCTGCTGCTGCCTTCTGCTGTTGATTCTATTCAGTGTGTGGCATGTGATCACATACACACACACACACACACACACACACACACACACACACACACACACACACACACACACACACACACACACACACACATCCTCCACCTTGAAGCTTATTTGATTAAATTTTGCTCTTTTCAATTTAGAAAAGTAGATCACATGTGTATCTGAGGATTGTTTTTGTCCCCATAAACTGACGTTCCTCCTGTCATGGCTGTCATACCCTACATTTATGCACAGCCCCTAAAAGTGACTATTTACCAAATGTTGTGGCTCCGTGACGCCTTCATCCAGCCGCTCCAGTGCTTAACATTCAAGCCCTCATTCCCATCGTGGTGTTTTCCAACGTCGAGTCAGGGAGGAGCTTCGGTTTCGCTGGGAGCTGCAGATGTAGACCATTCTCTAGCCCCGTATCGCAGAAGAGGTGTTTGACAAGTCATAGAGGTCGGAATAATGCACCACGTAGTCTAACCCTGCGGCCTTGTGTGTGAGCACAATTCCTCCCAGGATAACCATCATTTAGTGGAGGAGGAACATCACCTCTATGCATCTACTAGTTCCTTAACACCTCTGATCCGGGCCTAATAACAAGCCGAAGCTCTGTGTTTACTGTAAGCACTTGTGTGTTTACTTGCGCGCCTCTGCAGAACGTCTGCTCAGGCAGCTCAAAATGTAAAGAAAGAAAAATGTATCCCTGGATGGTTGACTTCTCACCAGGAAATGTCTCCAACATCCATGTTGGCATGAGCCGTACCTCTCTAGCATGTTTTCCATGAAGCCCAGAGAACCCATGAGTGTGTGTCCTTGCAAGGCTCCATTCCCTCCTTTGACAGAGCGCAGGCAATAAAAGCCTTCTTTATTTCTGTGGAACAGGATGTGTGCTAGAGCTCTTCTGAATATTTATCAGACTCTTCTTTCAAAACACGGCCGGTCGAAAAATTCCAAACGAGCAGCGGACGTTGTGTTTGGTGTGTGTGTGTGTGGACAAAGAGGTGGTGTGTGTGTGTGTACATGCGTGTGTGTGAGTGTGTGTTTATGTGCATATTTGAGCGTGTGCATGTGTGTGTGAGTAACTGCATACGAATGTATGGGAGTGTGTGAGGGAGTGTGCCTGCATGCATGTGGGTGTGCGTGCATGTGTGTGTGTGTGTGTATGAGTGAGTATGTGTGTCTTAGTGTGTGTGTGTGTGTGTGTGTGTGTGTGTGTGTGTGTGTGTGTGTGTGTGTGTGTGTGTGTGTGTGTGTGTTTGACTGCGTGAGTGAGTGTGTGTGTGTGTGAGTGTCTGTGTGTCTACTTGTAAAGCTATCCTATTTAGGACCAGAAATGGCATATTCACTAATCATCTGAAGACCGATGGTCCGAGTGAGGACCAAAACCCGATCCTGATACGGTGGACTCCCTGTTTTAGGCTTGGGCTGAGGCTTACACATAAGATGTGAATTGAGTTTTTGTTACAGTTAAGTTTAGGAATACACTGATTAGGGTTGGGCATAAATGCAGTTACTAAAATGAATGGAAGTCAATACAAAGTCCTAAAATGGATAGAAATACAAAATTGTGTGTGTATGTGTGTGTGTGTGTGTGTGTGTGTGTGTGCGTGCGTGCGTGCGTGTGTGTGTGTGTGTGTGTGTGTGCGTGCGCGTGTGTGTGTGTGTGTGTGTGCGTGCGTGCGTGCGTGCGTGTGTGTGTGTGTGTGTGTGTGTGTGTGTGTGTGTGTGTGTGGGTGAGGGCCTTTTTTCCACCTCTGAAGTTCGTTATCTAGCGTTTCTTTGTTTTCTCACAGGTCTCTGGATCCAAATGTCACCCCCCCTCCCCGGGCTCTGCGGTGGTCGGGGACCAGCAGCGTGTGACGGACAGGCGAGCAAGGCCTGTGGCTGCTTTCTACTGAGTGTCTTCAAATTGGACCTGGCTAAACGCTGCATGGAGCACCGAGTGAAGGGTCTTGCTGTGGTTTGATGTCTCGGCGTGGATGGAGTCAGTCAGAGGGCCGGCCGCCACAAATGAGAGCGTTTACAGGATTACGCCCTTTGTTTCCTGCTCTCCTACCAAATAACTGATCACCAGACTCTCCTAGCTGGACCTTTTTGTGGGTCTGTTTTTTGCTGGATACACACATCATTGCCCTTTTGATTTTATTTTCCTTTTTTATTGTTGGTTTTCCTTTTCCACTTTCTGTTTTTCCACTATGGAGTTTCTGGCTGGATCGTGGAATAAAGATTGGGCTTCGTTCCTGCAGTTTTGGTTGACTGTCATCCTAAGCCTCCAAATGCAGTTCAGCCCTGTTGCCTCCTGCCCGGTAGAATGTCGTTGTGACAAAACCTTTGTGTATTGTAACGAACGCAGCCTGACGTCAGTGCCTCTGGGGATCGGGGAGGGCTACAAGGTCCTCTACCTACACAACAACCAGATCATCAATGCTGGCTTCCCTATGGAACTTCACAACCTGGCCTCCGTGGAGACGGTGTATCTCTATGGCAACCAACTAGATGAATTTCCCATCAATCTCCCCAAAAACACCAGGGTCCTGCATCTACAGGAAAACAACATTCAAACAATTTCCCGAGGTGCCCTAGCTCAGTTGACTAATCTAGAGGAGCTGCATCTTGATGATAACTCCATCTCCACAGTGGGGGTGGAGGAAGGGGCTTTTAGGGAGGCCCTGAGCCTCAAACTTCTATTCCTCACTAAGAACCACTTGAGTAGTGTTCCTATTGGCCTTCCTGAGGACTTGAAGGAGCTGCGGTTGGATGAGAACCGCATAGCTGTTATTGCGGAGGAGGCCTTTCAGAATGTGACCCGCCTGCAGCGCCTCCTTCTGGATGGGAACCTACTGACGGACGAGGGCATTGCCCCAGGAACTTTCCAGGATCTTTCTGCTCTACGTGAGCTAGCCCTGGCCAGAAACTCTCTCACCTTTCCTCCACCCCTCCTACCGAGCCAGTCACTGGTCAAACTGAGTCTGCAGGAGAACCAGATTGATCAGATCCCTGTAGCGGCATTTGCTGACTTAAACAGGCTGGAAAAGCTGGATATCTCCTTCAACCAGCTTCAGACACTCACACAGGGTGTGTTTGATGGCCTGTCGAGCCTGAAGCACCTGATGGTGCGAAACAACCCTTGGCGCTGTGATTGTGCTGTGAAGTGGGTGGTGGTGTGGCTGAAGTCGTTGCCTTCCTCCATCAACGCTCGAGGGTTTGTGTGCTCCAGTCCAGAGAAGGTGCGTGGCATGACAATCAGAGAGCTCACGCTAGATAATATTGAATGCCCAATTAATCCCGACCAGCCAGCCTGGCCCACCCTCCGCTCCACTCCCCCTCCCCCGCCGACCACCACCTCTGTGTTGACCATCATCTCTAACCTCATCACCACGTCTACCCCTTACTCCTTTGACTCTCCCTCCCCTCCTTTACCTCCGATCTATAATAATCCTCCCGGGCCCCTCCCCCCCTACGAGGACCCGCTCCAGATCTCCTTCCACGTTGTCAACTCTACGAACATTGATGTGAGCTGGGTGTCTTATTTCACTGTAATGGCCTACAAAGTCACTTGGGTCAAAAGGGGCCAAAGCCAAATAAACGAGGGGATGCAGGAGAGGACGGTAACCGGGGAACGGCGACACATCAGCCTCGCCAACCTTGAGCCACGCTCAATTTATCGCATCTGTGTTCACGTTCTGGACACGCTGAACTCCTACAGGCCTGGGGAGGATACTATATGCTCTGAGGCCCGGACCAAGCCTCCCCCTTCCACTAAGCCTCCTGGCAGGGAGCAAGCCCCTCAGGACAGCATCAACTCCACGCTGCTCATGGCCGGGATCATAGGCGGGGCTATTTTTATCATCCTGGTGACGTTGCTGGGGATCTTCTGCTGGCACATGCACAAGAAGAACCGCTCGTCTTCGACCAAGTGGAAATACAACCGCGGTAGGAGAAAAGACGACTACTGCGAGGCGGGAACCAAGAAGGATAACTCCATTCTGGAGATGACTGAGACCAGTTTCCAGATAGTTGCTCTGAACAATGAGCAGCTGTTGAAAGGAGATTTCCATATTCAACCCATTTACACACCCAACGGGGGCATTGGGTTCAGAGACTGTCACCTCAGCAACAACAGCATAGCATACTGCAAGAGCAGCAATGTGCCCAGCACAGAGTTCTGCCATACGTGATGCAGCGCTCTGCTCCAACAGACTCCAGGAACAGTCGGATAAACACACACACACACACACACACACACACACACACACACACACACACACACACACACACACACACACAGAGTTTGTGTAAAAGAACACAAAAATCTTGTGAGATATAACTGTACCATATATATTTCCAAGTTGTGTCTACTATGTAATTTATACTGTGGATAATAATGTGGAATTCTCTGCTATCTTTTTTATCTTCAGAGGGATTCAAGTGTTTCTTTTCTATAACCAGCAGGGTTTAATGGGTCAGTACTGTATGCCATCAAGGATCCGTACAATCACCCTGGGTGGAGGTCGGGACACACACACACACACACACACACACACACACACGGTCAGCCTCGGAAAGGCTCGGGGCGCTTTAGAGGGCTGGGATCCTTTGCTAACCACAGAAACAAAATATGGCATTTTCTGGTTTTGTACCCTTCCCCTCGCAACCTTCCAGAAAAATGCATCACTGGGGGGAATCCAAACGCCACTGGTGTTGTACAGGAAATCAAAGTGCACTTTCTTACTGATGGTAGTTGGACAGGAAGTGAGTGAAGGAATAGTGTTGGTTGAAAACCTTGAGCAGAGATTTCCCAAAAGTGCCATTTCACTAAAAGCATCTCTGTTGTGAAGGCGACCCCCGGAAGAAGTTTGGGCTTTTTCTCAGCAGAAATCATTAAAATCAACTTAAAAGCAACAATGAATTCCTGTTTATAGTGAGATGCACTGAGGTTTGACGGCCCCTGTGAGGACATCATGTAGTTTCCTGTGTTTCTTTCTGACTTTGGCCACAAGAGGGCAGCGTTTCCTTCAGCGGTGTGTGTGGGACAGAGGGTGGTAGGATCCGTTTACCTCCACCATTCCCTTAGAGCCCATTACTCAGACTCAAACAGCATTGTGCTCATCGAGCTACTTAATGACATAAAAGCGTTTAAGACTAACAATGTTTTCAGTGTTTGTTGCGTAAATTATGTGGATTTGGCCTGAAGATTCCTCTCTGAGTGAATGTTTGAGTTTGAGGAAATAGCATGATGACGTTTGAGACGGCTCACACATAGCGCTAATTATACCCCCACATGTTTCATCTCTGTCCCGGTGTTCATCAGCCCTGGTGATAAATGACTGAATTATGTGGAGATTTCACCCCCCTGTGATCATAAACGCTGCCTCGTCCTCATCCATCTTTTTATGAGACACTTTCATTCATTTATGGTTTGCTCATTTCCAACAACGCACCTGCTCACTTCAAAGTAGCTGTAGCTGCAAGGCTGATCCACGCTCCGTCCCGTTTTCTATTTCTGTCCGTTCCTGAATCCACGCTCTGGTCCTTGCATGGGCTCAATTAAAACTGTCTCCCTGCCCTTCAGCAGGCGGGCTGTGCTGGCAGCTCTTCACATGAGAGAGCTCTCCATTAGGCTCTTCTTAAGACTTCATTTGATATGACAAGGTCTGGTTTTCAGGAGCCAAGTTTAAAGACAACCCCCCCCCCCACACACACACACACACACACACACATAATCCCCAACCCAAAAAGGCAGAAAAATAAGAAGTTACTTTCACGTGGCCGCACCAGGCTCACGATGGAGGTTAAGACACCGTACGGAGTAGGTGGAACGTTTAAAGCAGAATCCATTTCAAAGGCTCGTAATCCAGTTGCTCCAGATTGTTGAGATTATCTCAGAGAGAATTTACCTCAATAAATGAGTTGTGCTAATCAGAATTCACACACTTCCCACACCCTCGACCTGAGCTAGAAAAACTAATTTGATGTCATAGTATTCCATAAAATTTAATAACTGTTTTTAAGCGTAGAAGAGCAATGTGAATGTTTTTACAGAACAAGAAGCTCAAAAATCTAAAAGGTTAGCTGAAATGCTGACAAGCTAAAAATGTTCATAGCCTAGCGAACCTTGAGGCTTGACAAACGAAGCAGACTCAGATTTGTCAATTTAAAAATAAGCAATTAAACCTCAAAATGTCTTTAGCGTGCTGGGTCATTTAAACACATAATTTTGTGTTAATTTAAGCATTTTAAGCTTTAAGGTTACCCACATTTGGCCTTTTAGACACAGAAATACTTTCATTATTATTTCCCTTAAATAGTTTTTTTGTGCCACATTTTTTGCTTTGCGTGGATTAAAAGGATGATTTTGCTACCTTGGGCTGTTTGATAGTTAACTAACATCTGTCTGCTAAAAAAAAAACTAGCTCAACAAACCTTCAGGGCTGAAAACAAAGGGCTAGACTTGCTTCTTTGAGTAAACCTGTAAAGATTTTTTCCAAACTCCAAATGTGTTAGTGTATATTTCATTGTTAGACAAAAATATCTATGATTGGCTGATTTTGGTTTTTCTGAAGCTAAGCTAATACGTAGCTTCTGAATCAGAGTCGTTACAAACGCCACAACAGCCAGAATGTAGACTTCATACGGGGATTCATGACGTTTCCCGGAGCAAAGCCCCCTGGCTTTAAAACCACTTCTGTTTCATTGCTTTATTAAACATTTAGACTTACACACTTTAAGTAAAACATGGATGAAAAGAATGTTCTTTGGAATCTACCTCTTGCTTTGAGCTGATATTTATTGAGGAGACTGACACCACTCTATGCTAAAACAATCTGGTGTACTTTGAAGGTTTAAAACATTCAAAAAGTTGGACTTTGTTAGCACATTGGCACATTTATGCACTTTTTAATTAAATCTAATCAGCTTTAGTATATGATTTGTCTTTATACCTATTAGCAATTTCATCTGTTTATTATTATTTGGCTTACAGTAGGATTTTTAATGTTAATTATTTGCTCTAAGTGAATAAAAAAATTAGTCTGACATTATAATTGATAATAAGCTGATATGTTAAATAAATCTACCTTTAAAGTGTCACAAATGTGTCAGCACACTCAGATACAGTTACACTGAATTTTGTGCTTTTGTTTAACTGAAGGTTTTATTTAATGTGAACACCTTACTTTATGTAGATGAACACATGAGTCAAATCCACTAAAGTCTACCTTTTTGTCACGCAGATTAATTTAAGATAATTGATTGATGGAGATTTAAAAGCACCAGCAGCATATCTGGACCGAGCTAGCATTGCTTTGCTATTTTCTGCATTTTCATAATGAGCTAACCATTTGGAGCATCATATTGGTCGTCTAAACACATTTCTTTAGTGTTTGATGTAGCAGTCTTAAACGGGCTAGGATCCCTGCATGAGTTGTGAATCTCTATACGTTTGGAGTTTTGAGATCAAATCCAGAAACTTAATAAAAGCAGAGAATAATTCATATCCATCTTAACTGGTGTTTAAATCATTAAAATCATTGTTATATAATTATATAAAGTTTCTGTTTGCCTTTTCCAGAAATAACATAATCAACCAGTGATTCGGGGGTCAAAGCAGACAGTTCAGTTACAAAAACAGATGAAAGTAATTTTTGATCAAAACCACCAAACTTCATGCATTTTTTATACTTATTTGCAAAGATGAAGTTATCTGGTTTTGCAACTGAAGTCTTCATTTGTCAAAGGTTTATTTCTGTGGTTATCAAAGTATCTTTGATTTTTCTAATCTCTTTACATTTTCTATCAATACCCACATATCAGCACACAATGTCCACCATTAAACACCAGGATGCCCCTGATCAGCATCCCACGCAGCAGCGTACCACAAGCTAGTGTTTATACCAACCAAGCAGGAGCCACACGCTGGCCAGGCCTGCTAGTGAACGTGGAACGGAGATCTGCCTTATGAACAGGACTGAATGATTAGCTAGAGAGGGATGGGAGAGTTTAGTGGGAGGAAGAACAGAGGAGACTGCAAAGCACATTTCTTCAATGCCAACACAACGCGTGACACACTGCAGCTAACGAGAGAGAGCGTGCATCTGTTGTGCCAGGAATTCAACGGAACATGCCGAATGGTTCCCACAGACTGGGAAAGGTTGCTTTGCTGCTTGTATTATTTCTGATTTGCTTTAACAAATGTGGGTGTAGCGCCGTGACCAATGGGATAACACAAAGGACTTGCCAGTGTGGTTTTCTATTTAACGTCAGCGTGGCGGGAAGCTCGTTGGCTCACGCTCAAGTGAAGTCCATCCAAAAACCACGACGCTCTAAGTTTATGTTACCTTCTCTGCGTTAGCACACATTCATGATAGCACCTACTGTATTTAGCTTCACAGCCTCTGACGGTTCCTTTGTTGCTTCCCGTTTCTGTTTTAGAGCAGAGGTGGTGGAGGTGAAGCCGCCGAACACAAAGTTCTTCATGTGGCTTAGAGGAAGAAGGCTGGAATTTCATGGTGCATGGAAAATGGCTAGGCTGGAAAACCGGCTTCTCATTTAGACGCTGCAGTGTTACATTAGCCATCACACACACACACACACACACACACACACACACACACACACACACACACACACACACACACACACACACACACACACACACCACACACCACACACACACACACACACACACACACCGAGACTTTTTCTTAGGAACCAAAGTTAACTTTTCTGTTCTCATGATGAATTATTGATGTTGTTCCATGTATGTGCCTTGAGGTTGAACTTACAATGTAAAGTCCTTGAAACCTTTAAATGTTTTTGCACAAACTGTAAATACTTAAGTGAAGCTTTTTGAAAATAAAAGAGCCATTTGATTTGAGAGATCACTCTTCCTTCATTCAAAGAAACCCACCCGTGAGCGGTCCGTCATCCACGCCGGGACAAACATCATTAATTCTGGCTCTGCTCCCAAAACTTATCCTCTTATTCCTATCTGGGAAAGCTAGCAGCTTCTTGTGGGAGCTGTCACGGCTTAGTGTTCAGCTGGGGGAAATCCAGGATCTGCACAAGTTAATCCCAAAATGAGCTATTTGTCCCAAATTCCTGCGTTTGACCAAAGTCCAACTCTTCCCACATCCAGGAGTTATGTCTCCGATCTCCTGTCCCTGCTTGGAAAGCCACGTCGGCTCAGTCCTAACTCACTGTGACAGTTCACCACATCATGGAACATAAAACGGTGTTCCATCCGGGTGTTTGGAGTGGGAAGTTTCTAGATTTTTCAAAAGCCCCAAATGTCCAAATGTGATTTGTTATTGCAGAAGTGAAGGGTTCATGTGGAGGATGAAGGGATGGTTGTTGTTCTTCTGCTTTTATGTGTGGAGGGCTAGAAAAGGTGATGCATCCATCATGGATGGATGTCATTTTCCTCTAAAACCATTCCAACTAGAAACATTTATTACATTTATTGGGTGAATAATAACATTTAGCAGAGAGGTTGTGCATTTTTTTAGCAGATGCAGACATTCCTGTGCTTGTGAAATAAGAGCAGTTTAGTCACCACTACTTTAGTCTTTGGGTTAAAACTGGCTTGACCCAAAATACGTATATGAGAGAGCATAAGTCCTGCAGAGGACAGAACATGTTTGTGTAAAACTACTCAATACAGAAAGAAGACTAAACCTGCTTTAGAACTGAGTGTTTGCAGAGCCACTCCACATCAACTGGTGTTTATTTACTTCCTCTGTTTCAAGGTCATTAATGTTATTTTATGGTTTCATGATTCTGGAGGTTTTGAGAACTGGAGGGACATTTAATTGTTTTTGCTATTTTCAGAAACTTGTTCAGTTTTACATCCTGATAACAACCAAAAACACAAATGATGGTTCATTTAAAACAAGAATCAAACTCAATCTAAAGATGCAGAATTCCATCTGGGTCGCTTCACGGTTCTGTTCATTACCTTTATGGACAGAATTTCTAGGCACAGCCGTGGTGTGGAGTGTGTCGAGTTTGGTGGCAGGAGAATCTCGTCTCTGCTTTTTGCGGATGATGTGGTCCTCCTAGCTTCATCCAGCTCTGACCTTCAGCTCTTGCTGGGTAGGTTCGCTGCCGAGTGTGAAGCGGCTGGGATGAGGATCAGCACCTCCAAATCTGAGACCATGGTTCTCGACCGGAAAAGGGTGGCTTGCCAACTCCGGGTCGGGGGAGAGGTCCTACCTCAAGTGGAGGAGTTTAAGTATCTCGGGGTCTTGTTCACGAGTGAGGGTAGGAGGGATCGGGAGATTGACAGGCGGATTGGTTTGGCGTCTGCAGTGATGCGGACGCTGAGCCGATCTGTCGTGGTGACGAGGGAGCTGAGCCAGAAAGCCAGGCTCTCGATTTACCGGTCGATCTACGTCCCAATCCTCACCTATGGTCATGAGCTTTGGGTAATGACCGAAAGAACGAGATCGCGGATACAAGCGGCCGAAATGAGTTTCCTCCGTAGGGTGGCCGGGCTCAGCCTTAGAGATAGGGTGAGGAGCACGGGCATTCGGGAGGGACTCGGAGTAGAACCGCTGCTCCTCCGGATCGAAAGGAGCCAGTTGAGGTGGTTTGGGCATCTGGTCAGGATGCCTCCTGGACGCCTCCCTGAGGAGGTGTTTCGGGCATGTCCTGCCAGCAGGAGGCCCCCGGGTCGACCCAGGACACGTTGGAGAGGTTACATCTCCAATCTGGTCCGGGAACGCCTTGGGGTCCTGCCGGAGGAACTGGTGGAGAAGGCTGGGGAGAGGACGGTCTGGAGCTCCCTAGTTGGGATGCTGCCCCCGTGACCCGAACCCGGATAAGCGGAGGGAATCAACACAGACAACTTCTGGGTCACTGACTTGTGTGCTGCACATGTTTACAGATGTTTGTTTTATTCTGATTTATCTTTCTGAATGAAACGTTTCATTAACGCATCTTTTCTCATGTTGCTAACAAATAATTCAACAATGCAGACAAAATAAATCCAGAATAATGAGGATTGATCAAAAGCAATATTTCAATGCAACTAAACAAAAACTCTATATGTTTAATATTTGTGATACGGAATAGCAGATGGCACTATAACATGTATAACAGCTCACTGGAGATCAGTGACGAGAAGAACTAAAAACTAACAAAAAAAATAATTTTTTTTTCAGTAACAAGTAATTTAAATAATTATCGTCTTCTTTTATCATAATACTGTTACTTATAAGAAAATGTGTTACTAATTCAGCAGCGCGGTGTGTTGAAGCTGTCATCAGCCTATTGGGAGCTACAGAGGTGGATGTTTTCATCTAAACGCATCACGGCAGACGTGATGAATAGTCTACAGCTGCAGATTTGCTGCTGCCGGTGTGAATCTGCAGCCGTGACCTTCTTAAGCTTGGTTGATGCTTGACGCATTCACTTTCCACGCGGTGATGCGGCTCGCGGATGGAACGCGCTTCACAACTCGCAGCTTTTATGGTTCGTGCGGCTCATCTCTGCGGTGAGCCAATATTTTCCCAAACTGTAGGGGGCAGCATGGAGCTCTACGGCATGCACCCAACACTACACCATAACAGAAGTAGAAATTACTGTTTACAACGTGGCATTCCAGTATTTTTAACAGCGTCCTCGTCTTTTCCGACAGTGCGAGCTATTTCTCTCCAAGAATTATTAACAACATGTTGATCACAGTGATCTCTGAGAGCTGAATCATACAAATGTCTGTATTTACGAACCTCTGCCATACTAGTTCTTGCCGGTCCGCCATGTTTTTCAGCGTCCGTCCGTCCGCGTGGTTAGAAATTTTCCGAGGTGCGCGTTGCGGAAATTCTGGGCCGTGCGGAGACGCGGTGGAGGGGCGTGGTTGTTAAAATGACGCAAAATGACGCAACTTTTCCGCGCGGAGCCGTGCGGACCTCGCGGACGCGTCAAGCACAAACCAACCTTTAGCGTGCTAGCGGGATGTCCCAAAGGTCTGTTCACTGCTCAGACGTCACAATCTTCTACCTTCCTAGATCATCCAACTGTAGCCTGTTTCTGATCATGTCTTTAGTCTCGCTGTAACACTGGTTACATCAGTCTCAGACGTCATTGTGCCCAGGTGTTATTAGAACTACCTGTGTTCTGGCTGGGGGGTGGGAGGCTGCAGGCGGGCCTGTGGGCTTGCCGCTGATATCTCCCAGGACTCTGCCGGCCGCTGGTTTTGGCCCCCCGAGGCGATCCTCTGCACCTCTTGCAGGGGCAGGGGCTTTTCTGGTTGCAGTCTCATTGGGGTACCTGTGCTCTGGGGCAGCTCCTGGATCTCTGGGACCTGGAGCTTCCTCCATCTCCTATGCATCTTTGGGGGGCAGATCTGTGGCCCCTCACACTCTCTATTGGAGTCTCCTATAGAGAAACTTTACATATACAAGCGCGTGTACACACACATGTGCTCACATGGTGCTCTCATAAGTATGGGCTTGGGTACGTTCAACACACGCCTTAAGGCTGTGGTTGGCACGTAATGCACTATGATTTATTATTGTGTGATTGTTCAGTAAAACAATGTTGATTTTATATTTCACCATCAGGTTGACGCAGTGATAGCTTGCTCCTGATGTATTGTTGTGTGTCCCTTGTCTTTACCACCCAGCTTCAGCTCTTCTGTGTCTGGGTCTGACCCAAGTTAGTAAATGTAAGTCCTCGATCAGATTTGTGCCTCTTCTAGAGTCATTTTAAAGGATTTTCATTTATGTAACTATTACTAGATTAGCAGCAACATTAATGCTACTAAAAACACACAATTATGTGAAGCTGGAAAAATTGGAATACTGTGCTAAATTATATTTATTTCAGTAATTTAACTAGACTGGGAGACTCTTTAAAGGCTCAGGAACCTTTACCAGTGTTTCTATTTGCAATTATATATTTTTGCTGATTGATAATCGTCTAGATTAGTGTAATGTTCCTATTTGTAGTTCCTGCTGTTAAGTGCCCATTTATTTCAATTATTCAGTTTTATAAAAACCATTTGGACCATTATTTTATTATGCTCCAGTCATCAGTCATTTATATATCAGTATTGTAGTAATTTATAGTAAAATAAGTAAGTTTCATTAAGAGGGGAATCCAGAAAAATATTTATTTTTCTTGGTAATTAGTTACTTTTATAACCTTGTAACTCAGTAAGTAACTGAGTAACTGTTTAGACAAAGTAATCAGTAACTTTAACTAATTCCTTTGTAAAAGTAATGTTGCCAACACTGCTGGTGATGAGGCATGCTGAGAGGTTAGCTAAACTAAAGGTTCAGCTTGTTTTGGTGAATATTACACCAACAAAATCTATGGGGGGGTCCACATCCTGGACGTTGTTGTTAGAAACTTGGTGTGTGAGCTGCACTCTCCCCAGTTCAGACAGGAGTTCACACTCAAGCCTGATTTATACTTCGTCTGCGTCGGTGCGGAGACACGCAGTGCCATGATATGTCAGCACAAGGGCTCTTGATGGGCTCACAGTGGGTGACGGAGACTTTAAGCTTGTAATTGGTCAAGACGCCGCTTCCTGTATATTTGTCAACAGCACTGCTGTAGCTCCGTTAAAGAGTAAACAGATATTTAGCGGCAGACCCAGAACAGATGGAAGAACGCAATGGAATGCAAAGGAACATAAAAGTCCAAAAATAACATTTATTCACCCATTAATGAAGGAGTACAAAATACGGACCAAACATGGACAGAAACGACGAAAATGTGGGTATAGATGTGGCGACCGCATGAAGAGGCGGATGAGAAAGAAGGACTCATTTGTGCGTGTTACAAAGTCTCTGAAATATATAAACACATTAGTAAATACACTATCGGGGACCGGATTCACGAGTGTTGTGGTGGCAGGATACCTCAAAA